TGTTTAGCACATTTCGTTTTAATTTAGACATGGCACGAGCAAATGTATACACATAGATACGTATAGAAATTATATACTGATATTGGGGTCGTCTAATGGCACACGATCTTCCCGAAGTTCAAAACAAATCTATTCTCATTGCGTAATCGACAAGTTATGTTATTTGGCTTTTTTTTTCTTTTTTTTTTTTTTTTGCACTTCAACCAAGCGAAAACGACAACAAACTTACTAACTAAACAAGCACGAGCCCGGTCAGTTAATACGTCATTAATTTGACAGCACGAGGCGAACAGACAGTGAGACAACACATAGTAGATAACAGTCAGTTAACAGCTATCGGAATTTTAGCTCTAACCTGATACTGCCATAAGCGGAATATTTATATGCAAACATGCAGTTGCACTCGGTTAGTTAAATAAATAAACAGCAATTATACGTTGTGTAAAGGTCAGATAAGGTGGGCAGGTAGATGCAGTATGATTATCAATGATTATATATAATATATAAAAATATGTATATAGCAATCAATAAACCTGCGCATAACTATAAATGTTAATCACATTAATTTGATTAGCTCTTATCTATATTAGTTAATTACCTTTAAAAATTTGGACTTTCGATGTGGCAACGTCAGAGCTAAGTATCCAATCAGTGCGGTAATAATCGTGAACTTTGATTTTGCTTAGTTGCAAACTCATGGCTGGCAGCGGTATTTCGCTTATTAAATATGAATGTAAATACTATAACTAAATACCCCATAAAGAATGACTTCCTACAAGCTAGATAACAAATGTACAAAGACCTTGTTTGCTAAAATTATTACGAATTAAAATTTAGTATTAGAATTAGAATGTAGTAATATTTTAAGCAAAGTAAAAAAAATAAACCATAGATATTTAAGAAAAAAATATAAAAAATATAAAAATGATAAGAATAAAATGAAAAGAAAAATTTAACCAAAATTATCATTTAATTATTATTATTAATTAATAAAGATTAAATCATTTAAGCTAGTCAAGAATTTACTGCATAATATAGATTATTTAACCTCTAGCACCTACTGATCTTTCAACTTTCTCGTCCTCTCTCTCTCACTCTCTCTTATCACTGAGGCTTACTCAATCTGTTTCTTATTGTCTATATTTTTCAGTGGCAAAAGCATGAAGTCAGCACAGTCTATTTACTATACCGTTGGCTATTGGCGCTAATATTTCTGGGCGTTTACATCACTTGCATTATTCTGCAATTCTGTGATGGCAAATTTTTTATCTACATGACCAACTGGGGCTTTGGTCTGATCACGATCACAATGATAGTTGCGGCCGTGAACGTCACACGCTGGCACTACGATCTGCAGAATGTCCGGAGTCTGGTGCAGGAGGCGGGACAGAAGGCGCGCACATCATGCGGCCTGAAGATATACTGGTGGCTGTATAATATATCATTATTGCTGGCACTAATCATATCCACAGTATACTGGATATTTCTCAATGGTCGCATGAGTGAGTTGGCGAATGCAATTCTGAACACTATACTAAACAGAATACTTACATAATTTAATTCAATGTGCGTAGACAAACCAACACGTTTTCCGGTCATCAGCATTGTAACGCATGCTCTGAATACCGTTTGTATGCTGATCGATTTTCTAGTCGTTGCATTTCCGCTGCGTCTGTGGCACATGGTGCAGACGATGTGCATGGCCATCGCCTTCTTTCTGTTCACCCTCATCTATCACTTTTGCGGCGGCACCGACGAGTAAGTAGCCCGCACACTTAAAATGTCTATAGATTATCTAATTAATTATTTTCGATTTGGAAATCTAAACGCAGATTCGGCAATCCCTATGTCTATCCCATACTGGACTGGAACAATCCCAAGCGCTGTCTGATCACCTTTGTCGGCATTTTCCTAATGATCATCTGCTATTGGGTGCTGCTCTTTGGCGTTCACAAATTGAAGCAGGTCTTCAATCGAGCCTTTAGCATTGTCTGGACACCCCATGCCGTTGGTCTCATATGAGATCAGCTCTCTATCTAGCACTGACTAAATACAAACAATACCATTATCATATCATACTGCACTCAAGTAGTTATAGGTAGTACCGCCCGCATTATCTCATTATTTCCATTTAGTTACATAACTCACACACACACACACACACATATAGACACACATTGATTGACACAGACTTCCATGCCCACATTCTATACCATTTATTTATATCAATTTGTAGCTGTACGCAGTAAATTATTGTTATTTGGTAACTACTAGCTCTGCGATTAGTTTATAAGTACATTTCTACTGGTTCCTTAATGTCGAAGCAATGTGCAATTGCTTTGGCTATATGTATTTTAACTCTATAAACAGATGAATAAAGCTTGTTGCTATGGAATCCATAGCATAAAGAGTTCGTTGAAAAAAAAAAAAAAAAAAAAAAAAAAATTAAAAGCCAAACAAGAGCATTTTATAATTTAAGTTTTGTTCATACCGAAAAGCTATCAAAATTATACAAAATCTAAAGATAAATGTTTATAAAAAACTATTTCTCTTACAGATTTGTGGCAACGAAATAAAATAAAAATTAAATCTGAAGAAATATTAAAAATTATTCAACTAATTTATCATTTATATATATCATAGCTTTATACATTCCACTATTACGAAAAAAATATAAATATA